CCCCAAAACCCCAAAACCCCAAAACCCCATATTACACAAATAATGGCAATTATAACAGTTTAATAATTTAACATAAACATATGATAATGGATAAAAACATTTTAATAAGCTAAAAAGGATTTGATATTTAGATTTAATATATTTTTGCTATATATAGTAAGAACTAAATTTTGCGATTCCTGCACTATAAAAGTTACATTATATCTAATATCTTAATTATCATAAAATAAATAATGCCCGCAAAATCCTTATTTGCTACTTCTGTCGTTGTTGCCCTTTTCCTTGGACTATCTCAAGGATTATAGCTAAAGTCTAAATCATCTTCGACTATAAGTTCTAGACTCTAAGCAAATCTTGGACGTCACAAGGATAAAATAATTGCATAAACCCAAGTTACTGAAAATGCATACGAATTGGAAGGATCTGACTACGATACACTTTACCAGCTTGGAGAATTAGCCTACAGAGTTAGATATGGTGGTGATTCTCATGTTTCAACATATTCATCTCCATATTAATACTATGGCTATTACTCTAGACTTGCTAAAGGAGCTTTCACTCAAAGAAGTAGCTTCTAAAATTGGATTCAAGATGAAACCGACAGATTGAAATCTCTTGAGCAAGAAATGTATACTGAACTTCTAGCTGAAAAAGATGAACAATAATTACAAATTAGAGAAGAATTCCTAAACAACTTCCCTAGTTACGACGAAAATGCTGAAGAATGGCATTTATCTAGAAATGATGCTGAAAACATCTATTCATTTGTTGATACTTTGGCTTCATACGATCACTCACTGAATGCTACTGAAACAATCTCTGAGATTCTTGGACAAGTTTCAAATGCCACTTCATAAGATGAATACAATTAAGTTTACAACGAAATTGCTTCATCATTGTGGAGAAGAACTGATGATAATCTTAACTATGATTAAGCTTTGCTTAGAGATAGATATGAATCAAATCACACTTCAAATGGAACAAATACTACATCTTATGAAGACTGCGCTAACGGTTAGTACTATTACTTGTCTTACTATGATTGGGATCAATTCTACAGTCTTACTAATGATACTTGGAAAGTTTTATAGTATTTCTCTCCAGGGCAATATTCAGATGAGTATCAATTTATCTCTGAAGGATAAAGTGAGGTTTAAAAACTCTGCAGCTATGAACAATTCTAAGAATTGATCAATGAAGGAAATTAATCTCTTCAGTATGTCAGACTATACTATCCCTTCTTATTTGAGGCATGGAAACCATCTTAAGAAGATAATAAGAAAGTTGAAGACTTAATAAAATCATACTTAAATGAACTTTTAAGAGTTAAAGGAAAAGAAATTAAAGAAAATGCTTACAGTTCAGTCAACTATACCACAAGTGAAGAATCCTTTAATTAGGCACTTTCATATCTATAAACTAGTATTGAAAGTTCCATCGCTTATCTCAAAGGTGAATATAACTACAACAACTTGGCAGAGAACAAGAAGACTAAATCTAATTCACAAATCAAGGAGAGACATTTGGGTAGAGTAATCAACTTGATCAAGTCTCCCTACCACTTATTAAAATGAGTTACTTTATTTATTTCCCCTACTTGTTTTACTTTACTCTTAAGAACTTTTACATCTCGTAATCACTATTTTTAATAATTTACTATTTTTATAAAGTATTTATTTCTGATATTACTAAAATCGCTAGATAATCAGATAAAATCACAGTCGGGGTTTTGGGGTTTTGGGGTTTTGGGATTATAGATTGTCTCTTAGTGTTTCCCTCTGACTCAGAATGTTAAAA